CATAAATGAAATAGAAATATTTTTATCAACTGACAGCTCACGAACTTTCAGCTCGGTATAGTAGCCTCTTAATCACAGATTAAAATTTAGTTTCTGATTGACTTAATATATTTTCCGGTATTTTTTTATAGTATCGTATACTTAGACCATCAAATGATGTCCTTACTTTAGCTAGTCTGTACTTTGGTTGATCTATTTTATTTGTACTTCTTGTATTGCGGTTATGCCTGCCTGTTATAATTTCTAGTATAATTGTTTATATTTTATCTTACAAACTAAATGTTTTCATAAATATATTGACATAACTATACGACATATGCTCCGTTTTCTTGCAACTAATCTTGAGACCTATGTCTTATAGAAACTTCAGCCAACGGTCGAAGTCGCTCTGCAGATCTTCTACAGAGTCATAAGAGCAACATCATCTGCATACACTATTTTCTTCTGACATCCGCGGCTAGTAAAACGATGAACGCTGAGATTTGATGAACGCCAACTTTAATTTCAAATTTATCACAGACTGACTTCTAACGGTGACAACTTCTGTTGTAATTAATACCATTGTACGATGAATGAGACGTATGTTTTTTACTTATGAATGATATTGATATTGCGCCTCACTGTTTCATATTGCAGTGCATTGTAATACATTGTTGCAGATTATATTGCTTTGTACTCTATTATAGTGTCGGTTTCGATAATTAACCCTTGGGGGGTGCTGTTGAAAATAAGTGATTAAAACCTGTCTTGAAAAAAGAAATAAATTTCACTCGTACTACAAATTACCCAACATAACTATTATAAATAAAAATAGAAAAAAATACTATACAATTTAATTATAATTTAATACACTACGACCGAACTTATGCGACGAAATTCGGCGCCATTACGCCAGCAATGTTATTTGCATTACAGATGACACACTTCAGCGGAAATTCCGTTGCCGACTAAATCTACCCACTCAACATACACAGAAAATGTCCTAATTATTCCAAGTTCCAGGTACAGATGAAGGGTTAATAAGCCGTCAAAAATCTAACGTCCGTTGCTGCGTTGCAGTGTGCCATACCCTGCGTTATTTTAGCGCAACGCACAACGCTGCGCATTTTTAACGTCGACGGATGCGTCTGTCAATACCGTTTGACATTAGGGTCCGTCAACGCAGCGTTGGGCCTGCGTCGTCGTATTTATATGGAATTAAGGTGGAAATTCGCATTTTTCTAACGCTGCGCTAGCGCAGCGCTAAAATAACGTCGAAACCGACGTTGCGTGTGCGAAAGGCCTAAGACTCATATTTTTAATCCTAGCATAAAATATCTATTATTTCAACACTAGTTCTGCGTAAGCATAATAGATCGTAGGCTTAATTCAGTCACGGAATTTTGCCTCATTCTAAATATGACATCAAACTATTTGGAGATGGTTTGTATAGTCATAATGGTCATACAAATTATGCATATAAAATCCATGCTTTAGGTATTGATTTTATAAGTAGATTATGGACTGAATTCACTGTGATACCTTTTTATCTGAGGAATAACGAATGCTCCGTGCTATATTTTGACAAGTAGATTGCAATTTGATTTTACCTGCAATTGCAAATCTTTGTGCTCTATACATTTTCATCGAGAATGTTTTTTATTGGAGACGCTTCAGCAAAATCATTTCGCAAATTCGTAACTTTTAAGGGCACCGTTCGTCAGAAATGCCCTTTATTTTACTCAACAGGACAAAGGGCAAAATCAGTAGTACAAAACAAAACGCGTAAAACCCGCCAGCAGACACCCACTTCCCGGCTCGTCAACAAAAACATTTCAGAAAGTCCACTATCGTCCGTCCCTTATCACAAAACGTACCATAAATATAAATATAACACAGTAGCATGCAAGTTCAATCAGTCCAGTGGCATGACGCTTATCCTACCGGCTACTCACTCATTGAATAAGTGCTGCAAAGTGTGCCGGATCAGCGGACGCCATCTCGTGATTTCTTAGCTGTCTTGTGTCTTTTGGTGTTACATATTTCAGAGATTTTCGTATACAATTTCATATTCATTTAAAAAAAGAATTTCAGTATCTACCCTGAAAGGGTCGCAAGTTTTAACGGTACTAGTCATTTCCGTTTATCAGCAAAATGTTTTGTGAAATCCCAGACTTTGGCAGATGTTGCTTCTGCATGCCTTTGAGAAGAGGAGTTCTTGTGTTCGGATACTTAGGAGTGGTAAGTGAAATGTATCACTTTTTTTATAGATATCTCATATTTTTTACTCTTTGTATGTTTTGTTTAACTCGAGTAAACGACATTAAAAACAGTCGTTATCTACTTATCATTACGTTTAGTAAAATATTTAACGGTCAATTTGCAAATGACATGTTGGTAGACAAAAGAAATCTGATTTGGCAATGTTTTATGACCGGCAGGCACCTGACGTCAACCCTCTTTGGGAATGCTATTGTAGGTGGTGTCACCGCCACCATGCTATTGACCATAGTTGACAGATATTCAGCTGAGTTCAAAAACTCTACGTCGCCTTTTACGAAACACCCTGAGTGGACTAGGGATACATTAACTCTGTTTATTTTATTTTCTAAAGAGATATCGATGCCGGCTTGGAATATCATAATCGGCATAATGCTATTTCTATCAATGAATGTCGTAAAAGGCGAAAAATTTACCCTAGAAATAGGCAATAGCTTTTCCTGTGAAATACTTAGTGCTACACGCTTGCCAACATGCCTGTCAAGCAAATTCTATGCCTAAATGGCAAACCTCCCATTAGAGGAAGAGTCATATCCAGCAGTGGACTATTACGGCTGTTGACTAAGCATCATACGAATATTGGATGATCTAAATCTCTAGAATTATCTAACAACGTACAATAATAATTAAAACTACTTGTCAAGTTACTTCCCAGATTGTTTACGTAAACAAAATGTAGAGATTATTTCAAGAACGATTAAGATGAACTTTACCAATAGGTCGAGTGCAGTGGAACAACATCAATTCTAGTAATAGGTACTAGGTATATTACACTAGAACTGATATACGAGGAAGAGAAAACCTTTCACACTATAAGCTTTTGTTTAATAAAAAAAGAATATAAAAAAACAACAAACTATTCGACCCTGATAGGAAATCTATCAGAATTTATGTCTATTTTACTAGCGACCTGGCAGTTTCACCTGCTGCAACTGATTTTCTAGCAGAAAAAGGGCATTTCCCGGTTTGTGTTGTACATTATAAACCTTCCTCTTGAATTACCGCATCAAAATCTGTTGCGTGGTTTAGAAGGAGTTAGCAAATTCCACGACAGACATAAAGAGAAACGCTAAAAGCGACCTCATTTTGCGTGGTTTAGGAGGAGTTCGCTAGAGACAGTCAGATAGAGAAACGCAAAAAGAGACTTCATTTTATACTATGTATTGATTTTTGCTTTCCTTTCTCCCCAGCTCTTCGCCGCTTTCATGATCGGCGTGTACAGCTACTACGTGCACTACGACGTAAATGACGAAAAGCCTCTCCTGTTTATCAAAGGGGTGGCGACAAACAAAGCTACTGGGTTCTGCGTGGCCGTCTACTGCTTCGAGCTGATCGTCAACTGTCTCCTCGTGTACGGAGCTCATGTGGTGAGGACCTTAAATATTGCGTTTTATTTTCTTTTCTCCCCAGCTCTTCGCCGCTTTCATGATCGGCGTCTACAGCTACTACGTCCACTATGACGGGAATGACGAGAAGCCTCTGCTGTTCATCAAAGGGGTGGCCACCAACAAGGCCACCGGCTTCTGCGTGGCGGTCTACTGCTTCGAGCTGATCGTCAACTGTCTCCTCGTGTACGGGGCTCATGTGGTAAGGACCTTGAACCAAGTCCACAGCTCCTCCTATTCCTTTGACTATTTTACCAGGTATCATCCAGTTAGCCAGATCGCCCAATTGGAGAACCTGCATAGTTTCTAGAATAGTCAGACCAATATGGCCACCTGATGATAGCTTCGCAATGATTCGGATCAAAATAAACTACTACATTTTGTTAGATTATAGAAATTCTGTAGGTAATAAAAAATTACATGAATAAAAAGTTTATAAGTTACACAAAGAATTATTTGCAAATGCAACGGTCCCGTAGACTAAGTTATCTGTTTGCACAAATTATTTATGTAGTCATTAGTTATATTGGAAAAGCCCAAAGCTTTAACTAGAAGCATCTATAGGGAATCCCTAAAATAACTTGATAAGGCATACCTAATGATCAGGAAGTCAAATAAATAGGTATATAATCTGAATTTCTGACTGAACAACAGACGTTCGGAAATATGCTTACTTCTTATCTAAAATTACTTCCGAAGCTGGAATCAGGATGGCAGAACCAGAGATTAACGCAAGAATCACACGCAACGTTTGTGCGTAATTCATTCGATTTTACCCACCAAGAATATGGTTTATGTCAAACGGCATCGTACAACGCTGTATCGGCGGATGCGTCTGTCAAACCGTTTGACATAAACCGTATTAGTATGAAAGAAACTGGAAAATCGAACAATCGACGCACAAACGTATGTTACCGTGTATTTGTCGCCTCAGTAAAATACTTACCTAACCTAACCCTTTTCTTTTCTCTGCTTCAGAAAAACATTTTGTTCCTGAAAATTTTCTACTACTACACGGTGACGACAACGGTGGCAGCACTGGCGCTGCAGATAGTCGAGTTTGCAGAGCAGAATCGATTCTTCGAAATTCTCGTGTTCGACTTTGCTGTACTCTGTAAGTTCTTTTTTTATCAGTTCAGATCTGGGTAGCAGATGAAGCTGTGACAGTATCGAAGGTAAAGCAAGTTCACATAGAGACCATAACTAGAGGGTATTGAGACTTCCACGCAACGGTAAAACCCAGCTAGAGAGTATTGCTCATAACATCATACACAACCAAAAGGATTTAAACTAAAGAATACTTATTAACTTTTTGGTTTCAAAGTTAATACAAACTAAGTAAGTAGAAAAAATCCACGCCACCGATGGGATTCGAACCCACACGTCTTCTGACAATCCGGGTCAGACGTGTTGACCGCTACACCACGGTAGGCCCACGGTAATCTAACCCAGAATACTTGTAACCTAATGTAGGTCTGTACTAAAACAACTCAGGCTCTTTCATGTACAATTATGTTACCTTTTCAAATCCACTCTAACTGCAAGCTAGAGTTTAAAACCAACATTTGCTGTTCATCGTCAATATCGTAGTGAGTGACGGTGAGTCCACCCAACCTACGAGAGCATTCCCAAAGAGGATTGCTGGCAGACAAACTGCATAAGTTAGGTTAGTTTGCAACATGACTCTGATATAACACATATTGTGCGGACTGTAGGTAAATTAATGGAAAATATAAGAGAATGAAAATGACGCTTTCGTTACACCCTGATTTCTATTTAGGTATTTGGGTTCTACACATCCAGTAGCTTTGTATCATAACGTAAATAATAGGTGCTTCAATAGCATCACGTATGCGACAAAAGTTGATGTTTTCGTGGAATGCCCCTGTAATACTTTTATTTTCTGCTTCAGGCATAAACCTGTACCTGTTGTTCCTGGTCCGAAGCCTCTTCCTGAAACTGGAGAAGGGCAGCAACCATTCATACAACAACCAGCTGCACACCATCGTCGTGGGCGATGAACCCGTGACCCGGGTCGAGAACGGGGTTTATAACAACACCACCGTTGCGCCCGCGCCGGACAAAGACGACTTTTAAGAAGACTGGTTGACTCCTACTAAATGCAAATGAGCTAGTCAAAGCAAGAAAATTACCAAAACATATCACAAATTAGGGAAACACGGGGCGCCTTTACAGATGTCTCGCAATACGGATAGCGCTGCTGTGCAAAAATAACGCACAATGGATGAAGGGATGTTACGTGTTTTAACCTTATTCTGAAGATACTCTTAATATGCTTTTAAATATGTGAATGTAGAGTTTATAAGATACGTGCTAGTGTGTATAAGAGAGAAACTGAACCTGGGTTTATATGGCTTTTCTATACAAGGAGTAACAAAAAGTGTATAACAAGTCGAAATGAGGTCGAAATGAGGTGAAGGAAAGATGTTTAGTTTCATGAGTACTTTACTCATGAAACTAAACATCTTTCCTACGGAACATGGATCGGGGTAAGAAGAAAAATATTTGGACACCTATACAAAATTTCCGATCAGCGATCAGCTGATGATTTACTACAGGAGATCAAAATATTTTTATCATATTCCGACCCATGTACAATGGGGCAAGTTGTTACTGCCGGTATAAAACCAAGTATGTTTTTAATTCATAGATCTGATTTGACCAAAGTTTTATTTTGTTTCTTATTTAGTTATTTTCAATTAAGCTCAATATCATCCATCATTAACAAAATTAATACTCTTGTGTGAACTTTTTATCTATATGTAATCTTTTTGATTATCTAAGTATGAAAAGTTATGTTATGTTATGACTGTGATCTTAATGAAACATGCGGCGTAAATAAAATAAAAATAATGTAGGTAATTTATTTTATATTATCAACACGTAATAATAAATAATTTATTTGAAATACTAACTAATAGTTTTAGTTCCTCAAAATAATATCTTACTATCTACCTACCCCAACCTCAAAGTAGTAGTGCCAGTATATAAGTACTACCTACCTGATTCACAGAAGAAAATTATTATAAATAGCGGAGATTCCGTAAGAAGGGGGAATAAAACATGTAAGAGCCTTAGCGTGAGTGAGAAAGCATGACATCCAGTCGCCATTCATATTCCCTTTTTTTTCGGCATCAATACTGCCGACGCCCTAACCAACTGGGCTACCGCGGTTCTAATCGAGCCCGCGAAATTTTAAGCAAGTATATCTTGTCCACTATCGCGCGGATGGGCTCAATCTACCGGGATAGTTTTGCAACTAATTCCCTGTAATTAGTACTGATGCCGAAGGTCGCAGGTTCAAATCCTGCCTGCGGTGAAAATTTTGCAAGTTTTCTAAAAATTGTTTACCTAACACGAGAAGTGTTTTAAAATTTGGTATTCAACATATTCCCTTTATTCTATGAATCAGGTAAGTACTACTAAATGGGAAAGTCGCAGTGCTGCTGCTGATATTATTTACTTGGGTAATTTTAGATCCAACTCATTTACGTAGGTGTAAAGTCACATTTGTCAGCAGTTCTACCATCATCCGTAGTTGAAGCATAAATTGAATAAGTACCTCTAGCAAAATCAGGAAACTACCTGGACGTACTGTTTAGAAAACAGCTTTTTCAGTCCTCTTCACCCCAATCCTACCCGTAGGTGTCGAAAAAACCGCCTTATGGATATTCTTCTAGGGAATGAGCAGCGTTCCCTGTGAATTAAACATCTTGCACTGTGCTCGACGATCCACCTGCCAAGAATATTGACCATGGCAATACCTCCCGAAAGCGGTAGGCCCATGTACAGCAGTGGGCTGTTGTGGCTGTAGTAGTAGTGTTTCAGTTGTAGTTACTATTTCATCATTATCCTTATTAAGTCAATATAAGGTTGGTCTTTTAGTTACTCGATCTTCTATCAGGCGGTAAGTTACAAAAATAAATAAAAAATATTTTTCTGATATATAAATCTAAAAATATTCCTTTCAAACTGATAAAATCTATTTTGTGTATTTATCAAAAAGTGACACCAAAATGTCGCTGCGTCAGTAGTTTCGGTGTACCTATAGAGCAGCGCTTTAATAGAATAATGGGATACTATGTTGTTCATTCCACCACAAAAGAGCGTAACTCAAAATCTCCTTTTTTGTAGTTACCTACCCTACTTCGGCTATGGACATATTAAATAGTTGACACAAATTTTCAGTAGAAAAACGAGTAGAGTGCATATAAAAGACCGTTGTATTGTATTTTATTTATTCATTTCAGACTTCACCATATACAATTAACAAAGGTATCCTAAAAGAACTTCCACCGTCGCAAAGTAGCTTGCATGTCGGTATTCTACAGGATACATTTCGGGGAGTGTGCACAGTCTCTCCATGACCTGATACTTCCATCACCATTCCATCTCCGGTGCACGAGCCGCCGGTTGGGATTCCACCCTTATATCGTAGACATCTCGCAAATTCGCACAAAGTGCTTCGCTTCTACATTTCTAATGCGAACTGCTAAAGAGTGGAACTCCCTGCTTGCGGATCTGTTTCCGGAACGTTATAACCTGGGTCTTTTCAAGGCGAGAGTAAATAGGCATTATCTGGGCGAGCATGTTCTATCATCGTCTGCATTGTCACTTAACATCAGGTGAGATTGCGGACAAATGCGCGCGGAAAAAACAACGCTTCCAACGACAAACCATTTAATATGCGCCATAGTTTCGAGTTACAACCTTTTAGCACTATGCTGAGAAATTGCAGTTGGTCATGAATGGTCACCAATTTCATAACAAGACGGACATCAAGATGTAGACTCCTTGAGAAACTTGTAGTTTGAAGTTTTCCTTATTTCCTTATATTCAGATTTTGTTCCTTTTTTTGAAATATTCTTATTAGGTTTATAAAAAATATGCGTGTTGAAATACCGGATTTTACCAGATGCTGTGTCTGTGTGCCTTTAAGATATGGCGTTCTTACCTTTGGATATCTCAATTTGGTGAGTTAGTTGCTTTTATCGTCTTTTATTTCGCTTCTCTCATAGATTTTTAGATTCTTCTTCAGAATTGGATCGAGTTTGAACCGATTCGTCTAACAACCTGATATAAAACTGTTGTCAGATATTTTTAACCGCCTACTACCTATATAGAGAGCTACTGATATTGTTGTATAACGACCACCGTAAATAGATTATTTGGATATGACATCAAAGATAGTCGACAAAAAGTTGTCATATTCTAACCCATACCAACGATGTATTATATTATAACCATCACTGAATTTATACGCAAATTAGTTTGTTAGGTTATTACTTGCAATCATTATCATTTTTTTGCATCTTGTAGATACAAGTAAGTAACCGTTGTGCTATCGTCGTGTTAGAATCAAAGCAAAAAACATAGGCGAAAAATAATTTTATGGGTTCTGGCTATACCTACTGATTTCCTCCTGATATTCCTCTTGATTTTCCCAATTTCCTTATATAATATTACCCAGATCAAATGGCTTCAGCCAAACGTAAATAAAGGGCTTACTAGAGGCCTGAAGAACTAATAAAGCCGAGGTTGCTTCCGCTGCTAGTCGTTTTCCCGTGGGAATAAGACATTTTCCTGGCATGTTAACTCTCTTCTTGAATAATTCTAAGTATATTAAATTAATAAAAAATGCATCAAAATACGTTGCGTGGTTTAGATGACAGAAAGAGAAACACAAAAGCGACTTCATCTAAAACTGGCATTGATTAAAAATTGTTTGATTTTCCAGGGGTTCACCATATTTCTCCTAAGTATAGAGATCTGGATGACTGTGGTCTTCGACAAGGAGTACACAGTGAGTGAGATCCTGCAGTCTTCAACCACGTACATGTACCGAGGAGTTGTCGTCTTCTCGCAGATGTGGTTCATCCTCATCGTCTACGGACTGGAAGTCATCTTCAATGTTATACTACTCATTGGAGCGCATTCGGTAAATAGCTTACTGAACTTGCTATGAAATTCCTTTGATCTTGTAAATTAAAAATGAGAAAATTGAAAAATTCACTAGCGACCGCCGGGACTTGAACCCGGGACTGAGGATTGCCGTTCCACCGCTCTACCAACTGAGCTAAGGGCGCCTAGCGGACCCTGGTGAATCTTTCAACCTCTTGATGCTCGTCTTGAAGCGACGACCAGGGTCCGCTAGGCGCCCGTAGCTCAGATAGTAGAGCGGTGGTGGAACGGCAATCCACAGTCCTGGGTTCAAGTCCCGGCGATCGCTAGTGAATTTTTCAATTTTCTCATTTTAAATTTATGAGAATAATATTGCGCTGTGAATGCATTAAAAAATTCCAATACCTTAGATCTTGGTTCGTGGCTTCGTGCAAAGACGGTTGCCTCAATGCTTTTTTTGAAAAGGAAATTTTTTTAACGGTCCTTTAAATAATTAGGAACGTTCTGTTA